ACATTGGCAGGTGAGTCAAATGTACCATGGTATATTATATTACATTGGCAGGTGAGTCAAATGTACCATGGTATATTATATTATATTACATTGGCAGGTGAGTCAAATGTACCATGGTATATTAAGTGAATTGCTGTCAGGATAACCTTACTCTAACCCTGCACCCTGTACTCAGTTTTCATACACACTTTCCAGCTAAATGAAGTATATTCAATACCATTTTCACCTTGCCCAATACATCAATAATGGAAGGGAAAAGTATATTAGGGGAAAAATTTCTGTCCAGCATTGTCGGCATTATCGTTGTTAATAATTGTTATTGTGTGCATAATAACTTTACTAATTCTATTCCAAACTTTATCAAACTTGGTCACCTTATTCATCAGTATAAAGTCTTCCATGAGTATGAACAACAGATGTCCTTTATGAAAATATCATGCAAAAATTGAGAAAATCTGATAAAATATTTTGACTGTTTCTACTTGACTGATCACTGGTGATGCACATTCAAAAGTCACTGATATCAGTGCAAATATGCATTGTTGTCTGTGTTCAATGAAGCAAATCATTTATCTTGTAATAATATGATGGTAAAGTATCTCCCAAATCCCATGGGAGTACTAGACTGGGTTTCAAAACCAACTCATGGAGAGAGTTTTGCAGAGAGAGTCTGATATACATTTGCAAACCTACCAATAACATTTTTACAGAAAACAGAAAATCTATATAAGCACTCCTATGAATTGGGTGCCAAACTTTGATCAAGATCTGAAGCTAATAGAAAATCTGTTCAGTTCAAAGTTATTAATTCAAAAACAATACATAAAAATACATAAAAAGCAAATTGTTGCATCCACATTTTGAAAAGAAAATTGTACTCAAAAATATGTATTCTGTATTTGACAAACAGTTCATTCGACAAATGAAAACTCACAGGAATATGTTTCAGCTATTGGAACAGAATGATAGAGTTTTTGTAATACTAGTTTAAAAACGCACTTCAAAAACAAAGATTGCAGTGTTTGAAGATGTAGATTCTCAGGAGGCAACAGTACTGTTGACTTCTCTCTCCACTGGACACCAACTAACTATTTAAGTTGATTTGCATACAAAGCAGAGCTTGCAACATGATAGCTCTTCATAGAGGTTTTATTTTTTACTTTTCAAATAATACAGTAGTCACACAATGAATATAATAAGGCAGTTCATATTTGTCTCAGTGAATCGTTAATTTTTGACAGACACCTGTACAAAATACTTGGGGGGGGGGCAGCTAAGATTCTGTTATCTTGCATGTTTTATGAATTGATTCACGTCTACATGCAGCCACTTTTTTTCTGAGATCAGGCATTTTGTTTTTATACTAAAATATCTCAATTACTTTGAATAAAGCTGAAAATTATGTTCCTTAAAATAATTAAACAAATTAGGCACCAATGTTTTTGTAAGATATTCACATCTATCAAGGACATTCGGTAAACTGCTTTCCCACTGTTGGTTCAACCCCAAAACTTGTTTGTATTCATAATTAATTATGACAATGCATATTTATATTGAAACAAACTATGATAAAGGGAATTATATTATATAACAAAGGGCAAGGTCATCAGAATTCAACTATGTTGTTTTTGTTCATGTCCATGCTGATTCCTCACTAATATATCATCGGAATCATTTGAAAGTATGCCCAAAAGTTTTATACTTGCAGGTTTTACCATAGGTTGTGTTATTTTGTGATTTGATCAAATTTGTTCAGAATAAGTGGTCTAAATTCCTGAAATTGCAAGCAGTGAAGGTGTCTGGACCTATTTCTCGAAGTGAATGTCATTTTGTAGTTTACATAAAAGTATAGTTTGGTTACATTTATGTTACATGTACCTTGGTTCATGTCATACTTTTTTTTGGATCAGATTAATAAATTGAGCATTTCAGCAATCGAAAATAGGATTGGATCAACTTTTACACAGTTTTGCTGACTGTTCCTGTAAAACTGTTGCAATGTGGATGGATGAGACAAATTTTTACAATAAATCATTGTGATTCTCACTGTAGGTTAAAGAACTAAAAGGAGTAATGGAAGAATTCCAACAAAGCAGTTTGGAAAAAACTTTAATGAATTGGTGTAGACAATCAACAGAAGGGTAAGTTTGTTAAATGTGGAATTTAAGGTAGAGATGCAGTTTATTTGGCTTGCTTTTTAATTGAGTAATTTGACAATGAAGATGGTATTATATATCCAACATGTTATATATTTTTTGAAAGCTTATTATACAAACTTTGTAAAAACTTGTCTTTATTTTAAATATCCAGAATGTGTTTTTGATTTTGGGTCAAAAATATGCTTTTTTGGACAAAAGTGGTTTAAAAAAAATTAGCTTAAAAACTTCAAGTCTGTTTGTGGGTAAAATTACATCACTGGATACCTTGGTATACTACTAATTCAAATGCGTCCACTTATCTCTCTAACGGCTTTCAAAGTCGCACAGCATGAACTCAAAGTTCACTCTTTTTAGCTCCGCTGTCGACTTTGTGGAGCGGAGCTTATCATATGAGTGATTGTCCGTCGTTGTTCGTCGTCGTCCGTGTCAATGTTTTACTTTTTCGACTTCTTCTTGAAAACTACAAGCCTGAATGCTTTGATACTTGGTGTATATGTACCTTGGGTAGACCTCTCTTAGGTTTGTTCATTTCATGTTGATATCTTCAATTCTCTAATTTTGGTTAATATTTTTGTCATTTTTGGTAAAAAGTGATATTTTCGACTTCTTGTTAAAAACCAAAAGTTCATTTGCTTTGACATTACATATATAGATACTACATGTAGACCTTTCTCAGATTTGTTCATTTCGTGATGATATCTTCAATTCTCTAATTTTGGTGAATATTTTTGTCATTTTTGGTAAAAAGTGATATTTTCGACTTCTTGTTAAAAACTGCAAGTCCGATACTATACATATTGTTCATTTTCTAATGATGTCTTCTGTTCTTTAATTGAAATGTGCATTGCTAACAGCGGAGCTATCTCAGCCGACAGGCTGCTTGTTTTAATATCGCTTTTCATTCGCTATATATTTTCTATACTCTATTTTATATTCTCTGTACTTATCATTAGTAGATGTCTTCATCCATCTTGATTCTTCAGCAAAAGATTAATAGTATAACTTACACCTTAAAGGAGAACCGATACTATAAATAGGGGCAAGATGGCCACCACAATTAGTATGCTAATCCAAACCAAGCCGCTCATGTGGCGGGAGCTCCGGCAAATGTGCCATTTACGATTACAAGCTGTGATTAAAAATACATTTCTATTGGGGCATGAATATGTACGCTAACGATTACATTCGCTGGTTGGGCTTTTGATGTATAAAAGTTGTTGTTTTTGGTCAAAACGTGCCGCGACAAGTAAAAATCATGAGTTTAAAATGACGACTAATGTATGCAAAATTGCCTGTCAATCACAGTTAGAGTAAGTGAGCATATAATTAGCATTCGTTTACTTAGTGGCCAGAGGCGTAGTTAATTACCCATGAGCATG